GTCGTTGCCAATATGAGACTGGTAACTTAGTAATGGCTTCTACTGAAATCCACATGGGTAACGGTTCCAAGTTACTTTCTTGAGCTTTTGGAAAGAAGGAAATCGACACTCACTTGGCACAGGTACACACTCGCAACACCTTTCTTGACCATAATTCACGAGCTCTTCTCCCTATGATATTGCATTGGGAAGAGGTTCGTTTATTTTCATCATGATTATAATGCAATTGGTTGAGCTGAAATCTGTTTACTGATTAATTCCATACTTTCCATTGAAACTTACGAATTCCTATTTTGATACACCTAGTTCTTTTTCTTGTCGACGAGTGATCAGAAACACTTTTCAAAACGAAAAAATATGTTGAGTCATCAAAACAACTTCCTCAAGTTGGAATATTTTGTCTCCTTCTTAGAGTTATCATATGCTAGGCATTAATATGATCGACTATAAATCTTTGAAATTTTTGTCATCGTGTTGCCTTTGACTTCATCAAGCTGGACCAAGATGGAAAGAAGAGTGAGAAGTGGATGTTTCGAAAACCTGAAAGTTGCAACACTCTGGTTTTTCTCTAAACTAATCACACAAGAGTATAGAATCTAGCTAAAGGTGGAGCTATATCAGCAAGATTTATATACGCTTACCGGTTGGCAGTCCTTGTGGCAATCTTTGTAGCAGTAATACGTGTTGTTTTCACAGAGGCATGTCTGGCAGTCATCTGGAATCATACTTGATCCAGACTACACAAAGAAAAAAAATAAAAAACGGTCTAGATTATTGCCAAATTTCAACAGCGGACATCTTTGTGGCTGTTGTCTGAAAACAGCACCATCATTGACCCAGTGTACTGCAACCTGGCTTTCCAAACAAGAGTACGTTTCATAATACGGTTCGCACAACTGAAATGTGTTTGGCTCAATTGAGTGAAAAATATTTGGTGTTTGATTAAATGTATGAAATGCTGGGTTGAGCACCAAGACCTGTAGACGAGGCTGAATTAGTGAAAGTGTTGGAGTCAACACTTATATTTAGAGTGTAGCCATGAAAAATGTGTTACCTGACATATTTGTGTCTTTGTTGTTGTATAGGGTACCGTTGTGACCTCAGTAGTTGTTTGCTGAGGAGTCGTGGTAGTTACTGTGGTTTTAACTTCCGTGCTTGTTACCACTACCTCTCTAGTAGTTGTTGGTTGCACTGAAGTCGGTGGAGCTAGTAAGTGAAAAGAATGGTAAGAAAAGTAATTTCGTGGTCAGTGTTTCACACTGCAAGTGGTCATCCAGTAGTATTGAACCTTTCTGAATTTAATTTTATTTGGAGGTGGGCAGTTTTAAAGATTGAGACTGGAACTTGGCGGAATCAACCCTGACCGTTAAATTCTCCAATTATTGTAGAGTTGTGATGGTAACTGTGGTTTTAACTTCCGTGTTTACCACTTCCTCTTTTGTAGTTGTGAAATGAATTGTATAAGCGAAATAATCCTGTAATCACTTTTCTGCACACAGGAAGTGGTCATCCGGTACTTTGTTGAATCTTATGCAGGTGGGATGCAGGCAGTTTTGAAGACTGAGTTGTACTGCCGAATTCACTGCAGGTGGGATCCTCCTATGGCCGTGAAATGCTCCACTTATCGTTGAGGATCAAAATAGGGGTTTACAATTACAAACATTAATTCTGTCGTGCTTGGTATTGAAAACTGCAGTTAAAGTATCTAATTTACCTCAGGTGTTGTGCACGTTCACAAAACCGTACAAACGTTCAAACAAGTCGAAGACATGTTACGAGCTCAGAACGTTTAATTAAAAATAATCTATTTAATGGAACGTTGAAGTTTTTCATGATGAAGGAGGCAAGAGTGAAACGCTTGCACCCTCTTCAAGCAAAAATCTCTCTTTTGTGCGCGTAAGCAGGTCTGAACAGAACCGGAGGGTACTCGTGGCTTTCGACTTATGCTGTGTGCTTCAAAAGACTGTTGACGTTTATACACATTCCAACGTTAAAGGTGACTAAGGCTTCAAACGTCGAACTTCTGCCGTGTCTAATGCTTCAAACGCCGGTTTTCTGTTGACCTTAATGCAAAATTACAACATGGCGGACCGAGAAAGAATGATATTACGACATATTCTCTTTGCGAGAATGAGACGCTTTCTCTTGCAACAATCAATACTACTCAATGTTATTGCAACAGGGAGAGTTCTAATCGTATGTTCGCTAGTCGTGCTACTCCTCCTTTCCAGGGAAAACGTTACAAGACCCCGGTCTTGTCGAGAATACAGGTTGGCTAGAGTTGATGCTAAATACGAACTCTGAAAAAAGATTCAAAAGGGCATTTCGTGTTTCAAAAGGAACCTTTGAATTCATCTTGTCACACAAGAAACATGATTTGGAGCGAAACACAGTGACAGAAATCCCCATATCTCATAGGTACAGGTTAGGAAGTTGTCTTTATAGACTAGCCAAAGGTGATTACAATTATACTCTTGCGGAAATAGCAGGTGTTGGTGCTACTACTGTCTCAACAATTGTTAATTAAGTTAATGAACAAAGTTGGGCATGTCCGTTGGCGCCGCCATCTTGTTTTTAACGCCAAAACGGAGACAGCTGTTGTGAGCGCATGCGCATTTTAAAATGGCCCTGATGATGTTCCGAAATGGGACGTTTAAATTGAATTAGACACGGCAGAAATTCGACGTTTGAAGCCGTTCCGCTCTAAAAGCGGCAAGACCTGTCGAACTTTCGACAGAAAGCCAGCAGTTGCCGTCGATTTTTTTCCGCAGAGGTAGGAAAAAAGGGAGTTGATTGTATTTTGGCCGTAAAAATTTTGTAATCAAGAAATTAGCAAAAATGACTAGGGCGTAGAGGTCATTCGGTTGACCCAAGGCTATCCCTGGGACGCGGTATGATTTTCTTTTACGTGGTGGAATTATCGGCCTTGCCAGAAGAGGCCGTATCGTTTCTCAGGGTTGCAGAGCCCTAAGTCCGTCCTAAAGGTATCTCAACACTTCAGTGGTTGTCCCCTAGCCTCTACAGCTCGTAAAACCCACCAAAAGTACACCACAGTACGGTGGGGGGCCTTTTCCCAGGCTAAACCGATTTTCGGGGGGGGGGGGCTCGCCACGTACCAGCCAAGCCACACCATCCCCACAACACCCCCCCACCAAAAAACACTTCAAAGACAGCCAAAACAGGCCTCTAGCAAGTTCCAGACAGCTATCACTGATAAAAACATTTCAATGCCTGGCCCAGGCACTGTCTTTGTAAATAATATATTATACTGTACACAGGGGGCCACTTAACACGCAGTCTTATGGAATGGACTCGCTAACTCACGAGTTACAGGCGTACCAACTAATGTTCTAGCAATGGTACCAGTGGTCACAAAAGGTTTTATTAAGCGGATAATCTCGCAGTTGATCATTGAGTTATCGCAAAGCTAAGAATGTGTTATCATCTATAGAACGCAGAAGGGAATCTTCAGATTTTTTGGGTTCACCTTTTGGCAGCTTATTACAATGACCATCTAGGAGGTATCTGCTACCTGCAGACAGTCAACGTTGTAAGCCTTAAATGCATCATTTAGGCTTTTCAGGTCAAAATCCAAGATTTTTGTATCTCCCTCACTCATCCATTTTTAGAAGGCTATATGACTTGACTGTGGAGAAAACTAAGCACACAAAAAGGAAGGCTTCTTCACTACCGGTGTTTATATAGGATTTATCGAACAAACGGTACGTTTAAAAAAACACACACATCGGCTTAGTTCAATCATGAATATTTAAACATTCAACTATTCAATTATACGTTTCTAAGTATGTAACGTCTAGTAACACAACAAGGGATTCCAAAATTCTTTACCATCCAGACAACCTTCGATAACACTTCCACTTCCACGTGAAATGATGAGCGAATTTCACGAAGCAGGTTAATAACGTTGACACATCTGAGACCAGTCGCCCGTTGCATGGTTTTAAAATGAACGTAGGATTGCAGAGGTGCATTCCATTTTGCGCTACGCCAACGTACCGTATTACAGACTACACTATTGGGAAATCATACCCTAACTTGTTACAACTGAATGCACACTCCTTAAAAATCAAATTGTTACATGTTGAATAAAAACATGACTTTGTGCCAATTTGATTTAGTACAAATTCTGCAAAACAGGCTGGGAAAACATAAGTATCATTTCAAAAAAGAAAATCTAATAATATTTATTGTGTTAGTTTAAAATATTAAAATCTTCGTAGGGATACCCAGACTGCATACAAGAGAGACAGCGATGACACTGAGTTAATTTGTAAATTTGACAACTATTTCCAAACCTGTACTATTGTACTAAACCTGTACAAAGACGATTATTAAACAAGCAGCCACTGTATGAAGATGACATCTTATCCTCTTGTTTAGGTGAACATCTTATCCTCCTGTTTTAATAGTTCGCATTTACCGTGTTTCTATGAATTAACATCTCAATAATTTAGGACATCAGACTTATTTGACACACTCTAGAGTTAAGACACTATTGTAGCTGAGCATTTGTAACTTTAGCACTACAGTTTGATTAATTCTAAGGCAACTAACTTTACACACAAGTAAGTAACCATATCGATTAATATATTTATAAAACAAATCAATACAATGTATATATTTTAAAAATACCATTTTCATTAGAAGCCGAACAAGTGTGATTAGTTATAAGTGTTTTCATTCGTTACACTTGAACAGATCTTCTAAGAAACTTCCTCTATACAAGACCTAATACACTACTCAAAAAGTTAGGGAAAACTTTTTTTTGTAATTTTCCTTAACTTTGAGCAATAAGTGGGGTCTAGTTACTTCATGTTTCATGTGTCTAGAGAATTTTTTCCTTGAAATGAAAGATCAAAAAGTGTTTTAAAACATCAAATGCACATTTTTTTCAAAATACATGTACTTTTTTGCGAAGTGTACATAGAAATTTATTTCAAGGTATATTTTCCTTTAAACAGACGTAATTATCTCGATGTCATGGGAACACCTAACTTTTAAATCTTCAAATTTTAGCATAATAACCTTATCTGAAATATTTTGTTATGGAAAATAATGAAAGCATATTGGTATATTATTGGTCTACGTGATTGGACTAAAAATGTCAATCACACAGACATCAAGTACGGATACTTGAAAATATGAGACTATATCAAAAAGAAATCCAGAACTGGGGAAAAAATCTGACGAACAGCAGTGTTTTTAGAGTAACACATTTCACCTCATCTGGATTACTCAACACGAAAGTTTGAGCGTATACAACACCCAAAACCCCTTCAGAGATACTGTGATCAAAGTTGATTTATTGTAGGTATAAATGAAGAGAATCTTACTTCTGCACTGGTAACTGGATTTGGCAATATTTAATCTCATAGTCAAGTGTCCAATAAGTTATGTAAACGATTGTACATTACTGAGTATTACTGAGGACAACAGAGTATTTAGAACCGCTTTTTAAGCAGTCAAATGTAATTTAGGGTTAAGGATTCTACTTTATCACCTACGTACACGCCAAAGTAATAGAGACTTGGACTTTCTGGTGCATTGTTCCCCTGGAGGCAGTGCCTTGCACAAGAAGAGCATTCAATGCAGTTTCAAAGCCAGGTGTAGCAGGGAGCAAGTATCATTCTGCTTTCACGGTTCAATTCTAAACGAATTACCAAACAGATTAAAAACACGTTAAAGCTATTCATAATAATTGCATAACTGAAATATGTTCTGCGTGCCCTATCAAGACTGTTAGCCACATCACTCTTTTCAGTGCAAATGTCTCATTTCCAAACCACCAGGGAAAGTGTTTTAACCTGAGAAAAAAAAAACAGCAAGAAAAAGACTGAGAAAATATTGGTCCACCCTCTTAAAAAGGAAGATATGAGCACTTTCGTCTCTGTTTTCGTGCCACTGCCTCAATCCGCCCAAACGGAGCTGTTTTCAACTGTTCTATTGCATACCTTGTAGCTTTTAATAGCTTGGGTAGAGCTTTGATACAGCCTCGCCTCTGCATCTTGAATTTGATTTGCATCCATTACTGAACTGATTCAACCCTTTACCACAAGAGGTGTAATTCGACTGAAAGTAAAACAAAGCATAGAATCCAACTTTCTTTATGCATGTAGAACGTCAGATTGCAAAATACAAATTGTTAAAAAAAAAACAGTTCTATGCAAGAATCAGCTCCATCCATACCAAATTCTGGTATCTTAAATTCGAGACTGTCCTCCAGAAAATCGTTCAAGCAATAGACTAGAATTTCAATAGGTGTTAACACATATCGAGATCTATTCATCTAACTAGATTTTACAAAAACTGACTTGTTAAAAAAAACACCCTTTAATCATCGCCTGTTGCACTTTTAAATATCATTGTCATTTTGTTTCACAAGTGTGTGGGTATGGTGGAGGGTCACTCTTGCCCACTTATTCTTTTATAATCTCTCGTTGGTAGGTGATCAAGCCCATATGTTCTTAGCTGCCATGGGTGTGTTAACATTTTTCTACAAAGAATTTAAATTTCAAAAGATATGGTAACTTGCCTTGTAGTCATAGATGCAGCCAAAGTATATGGAGGGGACGTGATGTGCTCACTTCTAGACCATCGTGTTTAGAGAAAGAATAACTTGTCGACCGTGAAACTGAGTGGAAAAAACGGCATTTTCTTTTTCACTCTATGTTTAGCACCAGGTTATTTCACTGAAAAATAGTTAGCGGGATAAGCAGTGAACAGTTTTAGAAAAATCATTGTGACTTCGTATTCAAGAGAGTGGAATCAGATCGTTTTATAATTTGGGAGTTTTTTCCTTTAAATTTCCCAAAAGCCCAAAATCAGATGAATAAATTCTGAAACCCTGCAATTAAATTTTAGAGTTGATGTAAAATAACAGTAACATTTTTAATTTGCGAGGGTTAAAAAAGTGGATTTCCTTTTTACATTCTCCCAAGATGTACAAAGCTATCCATCCGGTTATAGATCTTGCATAATCAATGATGGTAATTCAGTATGATTTAAAGGCCTACTCACCTATGTGCATCAAAGCAGGCTCTGTCTACATGCAGCAGACTAAATAATGTGTACTGCAATTTAGCTTGCGCCAGGAGAAAACACACTCGTTCATATTAAACGTCTCGGTCTCACATGGCGAAAGTAGTACTGTGGTTGAAGGAAAACATCTAACAGGCCACTTAATCCTAAATCATCCTTAAAAATAGTACTAATCACACATAAGGGATCAATAGTGGTGCAACTCCTTACAAATGCCCTCAAATTCGTATTTGACGTTTGCTAACAGAACGTTAAGACGACATACTTAACGACCCACGTAGGCCCTACATTGTGCTCCACAGTGAAAAAAATATACACTTTTGGCTGACTTTTCTCGGATGGGCGCTGCGCAAGAACCGTAGCTTCAATTTTCACAGCATTAGTGCAAAACTAATGTTGCTATATTTATTTATTTTTTTTCACAAGCCTTCGAGGGCAAACACTGAGTGTACCGTGTTACAGTACACTCCGGGCAGGGCAAAAGTCTAACATTAACCGCCCATGGTTATTATAAACTGCTCAGCACTGCGGAGATATCGGAAAAATGCTAAGGGGTGCATTTTGCCACCTGCTCTAATGCATACATGAATAAAAATGAAGAAATGAACTGCAGGAAAAGTACAGTGTTTGAAGTACTGAAGTCATTTTATGCGCATCAAAAGCTTTCCTTAGTCCACTTACCGAAACAAGGGGTGTCGATGCATTTCATTTCACCGTCGACGCATTTGCTGGAAATAAAGGTGAAGAGGTCCTGATAACAAACAATGGCAACATTAACGCAAGACATCTTCTGCAACCAAATTAGACAATTATTTAAGCCTTGATCAATACCTAATTATTTATCTAACCTTGAAAGTAAAGACAGTAAAATGTGAGATACAAGTACATACACGACCTAAAACTTGAACAAAAATAGCACCAAACATGTCATCACTGAACGTCCCATGCAATCGGTGTTGATAACAAACTCGTGTGGTACTTACATGCAAGGGCACTCGTCATCGTCCACACACTTGCCTTTCCACATCTTTTTTCCCCGAGGACAATGGCAGCCCTCTTCGCATACTTCCATGCATGCGTAGTCTTCCTTTATTGTAGCGTCATTGTAACATTTATCTGCACAGACCTTCCCGCAGGGTAGATACACCTTGCCATCTTCACATAATAAGCCTTTAGGATTATAAGAAGGAATATTTTTTATACGGTTCCAAATTGGATGAAGTATCTACAATGGCATAAATCACACCTACTTTCCTAATATACATTTTTTTGTTATCAGCGTTGATCACGGTGAAAATATCAGCTGCAGTGTCTCAATCTCGAAGCATTTAGCTACTTTTTGACCATATCATTATCTTGTCATACATAATGAAACGGGTATAATTGAATAGGTTCCTTGCACAAAAAGAAATATATAAAATATAGAATTAACACAAACGTCTGGGATTTCCAGGACATGGGGTCATTAAACAAAGGAGTGAATTTCATTCCACCACAACCCATCATTTGAACTCCCAATCATACATAAACAACCTACAGCATCTGTCAGTGGATCGCCATGATACATGCACGTCGTTTTTGTTACAAATGTCGGCATAGTTGCTGACGGCAGTGCACATGCACTCGCAGTCACCTCCCCTCAAACAGGCACAGCTGTCGAATACGCAGTTGTCATAGTAGGGTCTGGGGTCAACCTTTGGGTAGTAATGAAAAACGAACCTCAGAATGAACTCGTTAATGGAGGATATTAATGTAATCTTGGTGAAATATTTTGGCAAGAATAGCTAAACAACTATTTCTGATAATTTCATTCCTAACAGTTTGACTGTCACTGTAAGGCTGTACAACGATGCAATTTAGGGGTTTAATATTAGGAACTCCATATATGCAGCAGCACTTTGACGAATTTCCATTGGCCTCTTGGTTCTTCGCGCCGGTTCTGGCAGACATGTTTTGTGTGATTCATTCTGGACCGAATGTGACAGAAGATCCAGAGTTGCGTGTGCATTTTTCATAAAACTCTGTGTGTGTTCCCTGGTTCTGGAGCTGTAATAAAGGCCAGAAGCCACAAGACCAGAGGATAAGCATTTGTGCCTTTTTAGACGTGTGGTTACCCCTCCCAACAAAGCAGCGACGTTACACTGGTTGCAGTGGGGCACGTCCGAAGCGAACTTGAGGAAAATTTGTTCCCGTTGTCGTTACATCTCTCAGTCATTATGGAAATGTTTGATACAGACAATGAGAGCTTGGATCTCTTCTGATTGATACAAAAACTACCCCAGGATGACAGTACGATGGTGGTGTTACTAGAATCCTTCTTGGTGGGGAAAGACAACGTTGTGAGCAGGTTCCTGAAATTCTTAGCTGTTGTGGGGGGGGGCTCACGCCGTGGAAAGTGGCATCGGAAGTGGTCGGCGCCGTACGGTGTCTGACCAGGATATTCAGCTGGAAGTGACGGGGAGACCCTTCTCCGGGCCTGAGACAGCAGCGATTATATTAGGCCTAACGTTAGTCTGGGAATACCTGGTTTCCACGAGGAAAGCAGACCTTGATCTGAACCCAACACAATGGACCAGGGTAGGCCTAGATTAGAAATTGTAGGGACCCTCTGGAGGGGCCCATTACGCTACAGATGGTGGCATTGGATCTGGCTAGCACCATACGGTGCCTGAACATAACGTGCCTTTGGAAGGTACAGTGCCAACCGACTTTCAATATCTGGGCTTAGGAAGGGCCGTGCTGATACACGCACAGATTGCAGGTGTGTCCATGTTTTATTCCTTGCGAGCTCGTACACGAAAATGTGAGGCACCGTTAACCCATCTGTATCAGCGGGCGGTAAGTGGGTCAGTGTCCGATCTCTTGCTGGCCCATGCGCGGGTAAGCGAAGCGCTGTTGACCAATCCGTGTCGACGGGCTGCAAGCCGGTTCATGTCGAAACCCTTGCCAGCCCATGTGCAGGTACTTGAAGCGCTGGTAACTTATTTATGTCACCGGGCTGCGAGTGGGCCCGTGTTGGATCCCTCGCCGGTCCACAAGTGAATACCTGAAATGCCGTAAACCCATCTGTAAAGTCGGTTTTAAAGGAAACATTTTGGTTTTTTTTTTCCTTTTCTCTCAATGGACACCGACATGCAACTGTTCTCAATGATGCCACTACGGCTGCCTGATGTCACGTCAACTACAATAAAGAAAAAAACAAGAAAGAATAAACACTAACATGTAATGAACAACCAACCAAATAATCACAATAATAACTAAATCTGGAAAGAAAACACAAATTTCACCACAAGATGGCGCTATTACTTACAATGCCGACGCGAGACACAAACTTGGTCAACAATATTGCTACAAAAACCGTCTTCTATGAAACTAAAGCCTTAGGCCCTAACTACAACACATCGAAATAAACGTTCCACGTCTGGGTATGGGCTAAAAAAAATGTGGATAAAAGAAACAGTGGATGAACGGAATAATGGGCCCAATGAAAGGATAATTTACACTAAAGTTCCACTGAAAATACGAATTACAATGTAGGCCTACGTAAATCAGTTATGATACATATCCCATCCCGCAACAAAACCGTCCCCATTTATCCCTTAAATTATCCCCCACATCTACAAACTAATATCAATGTCTGCTACAAAGAGTAACAAAAATATGGCTTACTGCTTGTTTCAGATCCAGGGTCTTAATAAGCTTCAAAATGACTGATTTGATTCACAAAATTGACTCGCAAATATGCGATAGCTTCTTGGGATCCTGATTGCGCGCTATGTCTAGCGCACTCTTTTGAACTTACATGCACACTTAATAATCTCACAACACCATCCATGCTAACGAGCTGTGGGTGGGTCCATGTCAGATTTCTCGCAGGCCCAAGCACGAGTACTCGGGACGCAATCAACACATACCTACAGATATGCCACAAGCGAAGCTGCGTCCGAACAACGCACAAGCTTATACGCTGGTGCCTCAGATGGGGCCTGCTGGGTGATGGGTGTGAAGGTCCATTGCTGCTGACCAGCACAGTTGCAACTGGATCGAAGCCAAACCTGCTGCCCCAGCAAGAGCGGAGTGGGGCTCGACCCCCGACTGGGGGACATATGCAAGAGTGCTGCTCGAGCTGGCCACCCAGGCGCAGGACCCAGTTAGTGGAATTTCAGGACCTGATGGTGTGAAGCAACCCATGACCTCAAGTCGACGGCCGACGGTCGACGATATTTCCCGACAAATTCGGCACAATCTCTTCTACAGGAAGGCCTCGACCTTGACGGAGGACATCACACTTGCCACCAAGATGGAGGCGTTATTGGAGTCACAGGACCACCACAAGAAGGCAAAGCTTGAAATCAGGGACGTGCGGACCGTGGAGCCTCCTGCACCCAGTCCTGAGTAGGAGAGGCTGGACACGGCCCCTGCTTGAAGGAGGGGGCTGGTGCCAAAGTAGAGTGCTATTGCTGTTACGAGTTTGGCCGCATAAAGAAGTGGCCAAGGCGGAACATGAAGCCGACTGGTGCTCGATCCTGGCGATCAATATCCTGTCTGCCCGTCGCTGTGAGTGGCATTAGGGGAAAATGTGGTCCTAATCCATGGAAAGGCGGTTCCCTCTGGAAGGTGGACAGTGGAAGCCTCTAGCAGAAAGGGTACAGGTGGCCCAGAATTCGTCAGTACCACCAGGGCAAGAGGTCATTCTTGCGGAGAGAGTCTAAATGGATGTCCCTTTGGGGGTAGGGGTGTCATAACCAAGTCTGGAGGCATCCGATGGACGTCCGGTGATAGTCGCCACCGGCCTAGTAGACATCAAACATGGAACCGTTCCCATTCGGGTTTTCAACCCAACGGCGGATCCAGTCACCATCTACAAAGGACCTCGGACGGCAGAGGCAAACGTGGTAAAGCTACTGAAGGAAGTGAGGATGCCCGCCCAGTCGGTTGTCCCAGAAGGGACACCACCTGACCACAGGGTCTGTTCACCTCAGTGGGAGGCAGCGCTCACGCTTGGTCAGCCTCTTACAGGATTATGAAGCAGCATTCACGGGCCCAGACAGGTACATTGGCACCAATACGCCAGCCTCCAAGGCGACTGCCCACTTACAAACGCTAGGGTACAGAGAGTCAGGTGGAACGAATGCTGAGGGAGGGGTGGTAGAGCCCTCCAGCAACCCACGGTCTTCGCCGGTGGTACTGGTTCAGAAGAAAGATGGTTCCGTTCCTTTCTTTGTTGATTATCGGAAGGTGAACGGGGTGACACTGAAAGACCCATATGCGATCCCAAGATCGAAGTTAATCTGGATGCTTTGAGTTTTGCCAAGTGATTCGGTACCTTCATCCTGGCCAACGGATACTGGCAGGTGGCCAATGACCCCTGAGACCAAGAAAAGACAGCCGTTGGGATGCAAAGCGGCATTTACCATCTCATGGTAATCTGCAATGCCCCGGCCTCGTTCAAGCTCTCATAGAGAGAGTTCTGAGAGGATTACTGAAAGAGGTGGCAGTAGTCTACATGGGTTAAGGATTTTTTTTCGAATATTTCCAGACGTCACAATCCTAGAGAGGTTCCAGGAGACCAGGAAGTGTAATTTGTTTGAGCGAGAGGTGTCTTTCTTAGGCCATCATGCGTCCGCAGAGGGCGTGAAGACTGATCCAGAAAAGCTTGCAGCTACCAGGGATCGCTCACCCCCTCCACGCCTTGACAGACAAGAACCAAAGGGAGCTCAAGTGGACCAGTGCCTGCCAATCGGCCTTTGAACATCTCAAGGACGCATCAGGTACCGCACCAGTGCTTCATTATCCTGACACAAGTCGAGGATACATCCTGGACACGCACACCAGCCACTGCAACATCGGGCGGTGCTGTCCCAGGAGGGGGAAGATGGGGAAAGAGTCATCTCCTATGGCAGCCAGACCCTGACTAAGGCTGAGCGCAATTACTGCACCACCTGGAAGGAGTTGCTGGCCTTGGTCCATTTCTTAACCTATTTTAAGCACTACCTACTCGGCCAAAAATTCTGTTTGAAAATGGATCATGGGTCACTGCGCTGGCTCTTCAACTTCCAGCAGTCCAAGGACTGCGTAGTGGATCCAGAAATTGGGGTGTTACGAGTTCGACGTGGAACACCAACCGGGGCGTGCTACACTCAAAGCTGGCAGAACTTGACGTCGTAGGACCCACAGGATGGCACTGAGGGAGAAACGCAGGTAAGAGCGATTGTTGATGCCCAACCTACTGACGTATGTTATTCTGAGATTGGTCCATGATAACCCCACGGCTGGGCACCTGGGGCCGTCCGGACGGTGGAGTGGCTGAAGTAAGCTCCAGTCTTCTTGAAAGCTATGAGGCAACAGCTGGAAGAATTACAATCACCCAAGTGTTGACAGGTGATCACCCATTTTGTTTATACCCCATGGAAATTCACAACGATCAGGGAAAGGAATTTGAGGCTGGACTTTTTCCAGGAGTCTGCAAACTGCTTGGCGTAAACAAAACCTGCACCATGTCTTTCCATCCCCAGTCGGATGTCATGGCGGAACGGTTTAGCTTCACAATTAAAACCATGCTGAGCCTCTTTGTGCAGGAGAATCAAGATGACTGAGCATCTTCCCTACATCATGATTGCGTGCCACTCGTCCCGACACAACAGCACTTCGTTTACTCCGAACATGCTGATGCTGCGACGTGAGGTGAAATTCCTGCTGGACTTGCTGGTGGACCAGCCTGAGGAATCGGGCGAGACAGCAAAGGCCCACGGGTACGTGGAGGAATTAAGGGAGAAATTAGAGCGTGCCCGCGAATTCGCCCGCCGTCATCTTCGGAAGAACCAGGTCTACCAGACACGAAAATACGTTTGCCAGGCGGAGGGAGCAGGGTAACTGCCAGGCCGGGTGGTATGGCTGTTTAACCCCTTCCAAGGAAGTGGGACACCCCCCTATCTGGTGGGACGGCCCCTTCATCGTGGTAAGGAGAATTAACTATGTAGTCTGTACTATACAGAAGTCATCCTGGGCCAAGGCTAAGGTCGTCTACTTCAACCACGTAAATCCTATTTAGGAGACGTAGACACGAGTTCGTGGCAGAAGGTAGCCCAGGAGCCGGCGGCAGGGATGGACTGACCTGTGCCCCCCCCCCCCCAGCATGAAGCCAACCCTCGGGCATCTTCGCCGGAGATGGATCAAGCTCATCCCCTCCCACGAGCCAGGATTTATAGATGGGCCTGAAACCCCTGGGGAGGATCCGCCGACAAGCCATGGACAACTGACAACCCCCGAAGAAGGAGAAGACGAAGGAACCGGGGGGGGGGGCAGCAAAACGTGAACGAGACTAGAGCCGAGTCGACGACACCAGAAGCGCCAACAATGGAGGAACAACCGGGCGACCCAACAAGGAAGAGCCCGGTCCACTGCTTTCCGACCCCGGGTCACCCAAGCGGGGCGAAAGGTAATCCGACCTAGCTATTATTGCCTCTTCTCTTACAAATTGTCCTTCTTCCCCGCAGGATGTCTGATGAAGTGGACTGCCTTGAGTGCGGCGAGCGACAGAAGCAGAGGGGTCTGCGCCAGTACTGCCGGAAGGCATGCACAACCCACCACCAGAAGGTCCCCTCCACCAATAAAACCAGGCGTGTGGACTGAGGTTTTAACAGGAAGACACACTAAGGAAATACGGGAAATGCGTAAAAGGCTTCACGGAACCTCTGGTTGGGGTGATATCACAGGAGGACACGCTGGAGGTCCATGCCAGCGACCAGGAGTTGGAGAATGACGACCCAGAAATGGTGTTGCCGGGGGCAGGGCCAGCCTGACATGCCGACAGAGACCGGCAACTGTCCAGAGCGGTCTGCCACTCTGTCCTCTCCTGGGGACTGACCAAAGGAAGCCATCCCAAGAGAACAACCAGAGCAGCGGCAGACACCCCGCGGGCCATGGAACAGGCCTCAGCTGGGGGCTCCGCCCAATGGGCACAGAGCCTTGGAATCCCGTTGCCAGGCCGGCACCAGCAACAACAGAGGTGGCAATGCAAACGTCGGAAGTCGTTACTGAATGGCAGGGGCGGGGCAGTTGCTCCTGCGCCCAGGGGACCTCATCATGCAGGCCGGTGGCAGCCCGGTGTGCTTGCGCGGCGGGGCTGCTCTATGCCAGCTCGGGAGGGTGGTACGCGTATGGCATCCGGGATGAGTGGTCTCTGCAGAACAAAAACGCTGGTCTGGACGCAGGGGCCGCTGGCTGTTGAAGACCACAGAGAGTTCCACACCTACGAGGTGCAAAGGCGCCTGCTGGCATCTTACAATGGCCGGCAGAAGGCCAAGTACTTTGTGGACCCTCTAGTGGCTGGCAAGCCGTCACTGGGGGAGGGGCTGCTGCAACCCGGCGCACCCAACCGCCCCGCAACCCTCCGCACTCTTGGGATCAACTGGTCCGAGCAACGGAGCTCCAGCGTAGGTCACCCCTTATAGTTAACCTTTGCTCAGTTCCTGTTTTTTTGTTTGTTTGTTTTTTGTTTTTTTTTTAAGCCTTAAGATTTCTTTTTCTTGTTGTTCTGGCTGTCCTAAGTTTTCAACATTGAGTAAGGTTTTTATTCTTCCCTCACTTATTTTGGGAGGCACCGGGTCGCCGAGATGGGGCAAGGTGAGTGCCTGGTGTTGTAACTCTCCACCTTGTTCGGGGATGAATGGCAAGAAATAATCGAATAAATCATCCTTCGTAGTGGGTTGACCTTAAAGCACAGCTAGAGCTCATGGCATAAAGCGCAAACTACTAAAACTCCTGGGATCGCAGCCCGGAAAAAGGCCATATTAACCCGGGGAATAACAAACAGGACCCCAGTGCATCCCCAGCTTCCTATCCTCTATCGTTTCTACATAGTAGTTCAGCACGTCCGGTTCCGCGTCCCTGTTCGCTGTAGGCGCAGAGCAACGATCCAAACACACGTCTTTCTTCCAACACACACCGCGGTCGTCTCTCCCCGCGCTCACAGAGTCTGCTGACTGGGGCTCTGCGTAAACAGGCACTAGCGATGTTAACTCGTTGCATGAACGTTCTTTTTATTTAATTATAATTATTATTTTATATCAGTACAAACCATCCACACAATAGGCCTACATACAAACACACAGAGAGAAAATCCTACAGTGTAATTCGCTTTACAATTTATATTAACTATACCTAGTAAAGACACGTGAAAAAATACACATTAAAATCGGCCGCTTCTCTATTTGCATTTACATGCAAGAGCCACTTACAAAATTGACATACACCTCCTAAACTCATGGAATATATTTCCCTTCCTCATTTGGTGCCTCTGGGGTCGCATTGGATTAAATTTGGCCTTTTGATTAGTCGTGAGGTTGCCAAACATTATCAAAAGGTCCAGGTCATAACCTGTGCTGTATATAATGGAAAATTTGTTACTGCTTACCACATCATGACACGCTGAAAACGTAAATTTCAGTATGATGCTGCAAGCCGATTGCGCCCAGTAGAATCGTTCCGGGTTGATTTCGCAAGGGTGGACAGGATCTGGGGGTTCAGGACAGCTGTCAATCGTCCTCCAACTGTGGCCAAATGCGTTGGGTGTAGCCTCTATTTCACCGCCCCTGGTTCTGAAGTCGTTCAAGGCGTTGCCATCAAAGTCTCCACACAGGCCACACACGTGTCCTTTGAAGACGCCATCTAGGGTTACAAAAATGGACGTGCCGAAATCCCACACTACTTTGATCCCTGAAGGTAAGAGAGACATAAACATACATTAAGTCACGATACTCTGGCACTTTAACCTACGGTTATAAATAAATCTTTTCCTATTTAATAATTCAATTCAAGAAGTCAGTTCAAATCCCATAAGACAAACAGACAAAGCAAATCATAGGAAGGAACACAGAAATGGTGGGAGACTTTGAGACACTGGTGATAGCAAACATGTCAGGTCCTTTTTCAAGGTATTGCGCTTGCTCAGAACTGGTAAAAGTCTCTCATTAAGACTGGTATCAAAACACTTTTACAAAAAGGTACTAGAATCTTTTAATATTTACAATTAGTTAGAATACTAACAAATATTACCGGGGAGGAAATTTATGCATCACAAACAAGGTAAATCGTATCAGTTTGCCATTATTGGAGGGAAGGTACCTCGTGGAATCCTGATCTTGAGTTTTCCGGGAACAAACTGAATAATTCATTTGCTTGATAAAACCTGGACCAAGTAGAGAAGAGCGCTGCAACTTACCTACACTTAATTTGCACAATTTCAGGAAACTATTTCATTGGCTCACTCCTTCAAAACCGCTCATTATAGTGTTAATGCAAGACCAAAATATTAGTGAAAAGTTCAACGGCCTGGTGGAAACAAACAAATATATTGGAGAGTACCCCAATACATTAAATCGGGAAAACATTAGCATTTTAGACTCCAGGTTGCCCGTCGGTAAAAAGGCAACACAAGATGGGTATTTAGTTCTGGTGGTCGGCGGGGGATAATTTATTATAATGTCTTATTATTGGTACACTCTAGTTTTCTACAGAAGAGTCGTTACCCGGAACCTCCCCTGGGAAAGGCTGGGGCAATTTGGCTTCAAGGGAACAAACAACATTTTGGGGGAGGACGGTGGAAACATTTAAGTAAGAATTTGTTTCATTTAAGGGGGCTTACCAGAAAGGCCTTACCGTTCTTCCGTGTGAAGTCCGCTTTTTTCACGGCAAGTCTGCCGTTGCTATAAAGGGGCCGGAAAGTTCGCGAACTGCTAGCCCAGGTGCACTCGAGCGCGCAACGAGTTAATGAGCTGGCCCGGCCGCCCGCTATTTTTGGAGATTAACTACGTCAAGAGAGATACGGAGACATTTACATACTGCGTTCTTTCTAAGGACTGGACGATGCTGGAAAACACGATCGACTCGGAGATACATTTACATATTGCATTCTTTCCGCACACCGGGCAATGTTGGAACAAAATGATTAACTGCGAGAAACATTCACATATTACGTTCTTTCCGCGGATTTTATTACGAAATAGGCCATAACAAAATTTAGGTAACAAACACATGTCTGTGGTCCCGGCGAAAACGTGCACGTTTCTTTGGGGGAAAAATCTGTTACAGCGAAATCACACTATACGAAATTCCTGTTAGAACGAATGGTTTTTGTGAGGCCGTTGCCTTAAAAACCATTGTTGACGACCCATTTGTAACGAGCGTTTACGAATCGAGGTGCTGAAAACACGTGCGCAGTGCATCACACTGGTTCCCGCCGGGCCGAACCGTTGCAAAAGAAGGCGTGAGGGAAATGCGGCAACAAGCTAATGTACAATTCCTGCCAAAGGGGGTTGCAAACGTTCCCCTAAATGTACATGAACGTTGTATACGAATGCCGCTCTGCAGCTGCGATTCGAAATCACACTGCCGTCACGAATTTTTCTGCAAGTTCATTAACAAAAAAATTGATCTCATGTGTATGTTTTTGCTTTCTGTATGTATGTAATTTGAAGATCATGTACTGCTCGTACATGAAACGAGCACTTTCACAAAGTTTCCAGCCCAACATGCACGAGGCTAACCGCCCGCTCCTCCAGATGCGTCACGCACGCTTACTACGCGATACGCAGACATCGTTTGCCAGTTTCCTGTAGTTATAACAAGGGTAAGGCACGAATAAAAAATTAGTGAGTTTTTACATTGATTACACCAGCGTAAAAACAAAAATTCCCTCCCCAATTCCGACACAAATACGCCCAAATACATTCGCTTGAATACTCCCACACTTCAAGAGCCCAACTAATCGCTGAACACTGAATTATTCATATTGCTGGAAAAAGACCTAGAGTAGCCGCCAATGAGACTGTGCGTTTTCATGACGTACATTTTGCAAGACACAGCTATGCAATCGCAATATTCCTTCATGGTGTCAAGCTTTTTAGCGACCACCTCGCGCGTGGGCGACCGCGCCCCAGTGGGCGAGGGAGCTTGGATCATCGATGCCATGCAGCTTGTGTCCAAAATCATAAGACAGACGTAAAATTAAATATTCGTGTTTGCTGATTAACATACACCGTTCTTGCCGCGTACGGTCGTCGTTGTCAAGTGCTCTTTTGTTAAAAAAGGTTCGCAGACTCCAGCGGACGTCCCCCTTTTGCGTTCCGTTTGAGGGCAAGTCCTGATGTTTACGCACTTTACACGTTTTTGGATGAGACATAAAATGGTCCTAAATGCAAATTTTATATCTCCCATCATAAAAAAGGAGGGTACATGGCCCCGTTTTTCCCAGGTCCGCCTTTGCTTGCCGGTCTCTTCGTCCCCGTTGTTAAAGAAGCATACTCACCGTGCACGGTACTGATGATTAAGAAAATGCCGGACGGTACTATGCGATATTTAGCCCTCGTTGGTGTAGATTCTGGAGGGGTGATGACTGGTTCGGTACCTCTCACAAGGTATATCTTAACATCGAGAATGGTGAACAGAATGGATTTGGTGCAAGTCACCCCACCAGATCCGCAACAGACGTTCTCCACAACCACTTTGAAAATACTGCTGCTGCCATTATTGCCACAGTCGTCCGACGTGAGAACGTAGCTACAGTCACCTGGGAAACCATAGAGATCCACCCATCTTTACGAAGTCCTTTGCGAATCAACATAAGTTTGTCCAGCAATGACATCCTAAACAATTGCAAGGGCGTGTTTTGGCGGTCATGACCAAGAATTAGGTCGGTTGTTTCTCTTTTGCTAATCGCTTTGGCGGTCTGAGTGCAACATCATTAAAGTTAATTCTTACCCAGTTAACATTACCAAAGAAAATCTCTGAAGAACAGTACCAGTTTTTAGTTAACGCACCACTGGTTCGTGGGTATTAAGGCTTGATGCCCTGACTTCGAAGTTGTCTTACCTTTCATAAAATATCAGATTGTGTTGCGGGCCCCCCTTCAATATGACCAAAACCAGAGAAACGCAACCTTACCCTGAAAATCGTACCGCCTGCCATCATACGTCAAGTAATGTGGGTCTCCATATGCTCTGCACGTCTCTGAAGGCAAAGAAAAAACAAAATGGCGCAAGAATCGCCGCCTTATTTGACACAGGGGCCTTTAACAATGTTCCTCACACTTTCTTGATGCTGTGGCCTAATTGTGAAGTTTATTGACCACCGTGGTTAACGGTCTAATGATGAGTATTCTTTGCCAACACTTAAAGGCACTGACTAAACAGGAAAGTTCTCTTTATGTCATATATCTTAAAATCGCATCTAACTTCTCGGTGATGTGAGTTTCCTGCAAATAATAATAGCACTGGGCACAGAAAGCCTTCAGACACGACACAACATCTTAATGATGATTATTTGCACGTTCCTTTACATTGTTCCTAACCTTATCCATACGGAGAAAGACTGTGGCTAGACAGGCAGCCACTAAATTACTGCATTCCGCACTTCGTAATTGATAATGGCAGAGTTTTATTTCACCTCACTTTATACTGCAGACCGAATGGTTCAACGAAGCTGCATTCAAGTCCTGCATCGGTCATCATGCTGCCATTTTCCACAGGGCTATGCCGTTGCCCATTCACGGCACCCAGTTTTTTGCTATTTCGCCAATTACGGTTTGTACACGTTTTTCTACTACACACTATTACTGAACTTAATAAGTGAGCAGTCCACAATATAATTACTACAAGAACGAATGAGAAATGAGACTAAGTTTTCGTTTCCGTTCGATTGCAAATTATATACAAAAGTCTAAATATCAAGTATTTCAAGAAATGTTTTCAGTTTAAACACAAATCAGGTAACATGAGTTTAAAGCAGCAGTTTTTGTACATATGTGTTTTTAGCCCATTCACTTTGTACACGTCTTCAATCCGCCACTTTGATAACTTTGGGATGTTTGATCATCATCAGATTAATGCAGAGTCAACCAAGACCTTGATAAAAAATATTGTACTTAAATTATAACGTCATGATGACATCATCAATTGTTTTCAATTGATTTTTAAATATTTCATTTAACCCTTTGGTTTTGTACACGTTTTTCAACAGTCAGCCTTCGGCACTCTGGTCAATCTGACTGAATTATTAAACACTCACAAAATGGCAACGTTTTCTATTTGGTCCGACATTTTCCTAGTCAATTTTTTAATGCTTTCTCAAAAACGCCGAAACAGCCTGCGGTGGTTTTAACGAATGTCAAACTTCTAGTCTGCACTTGTTTGAGGTTTGTTTAGGGTTTTTAAGGACTATAAAATTACTCCTTACACTAATGCCCAGATAGGGGTATGAAGTTTTAAGATACTCAATTTTGCAAAGTAATAAATTAAAATTTACGGACCTGGGCACAATTTGTTCTCGCACACTACTTTGGCATCTGGTGAGCACAAGCTACGGTGAAAGAGAAACAAAATACACATTTCAGGCAAAAGTAGTCAATAATGACAGAATAATTGATATGCTAAAGCCCAACATAATTTCCCTCTTTGCATTAACACACTTTACACGAAGCCGTTCTTAGTTAAATTACAAAAATGTTGCCGTAAGTACCGGGCGACAATATTTGAAATAGTTAACATTTCTGCAGCTGCATGGTGATGCTTCCTTAATTGATATTGAATTATGTACATTTTTTGCATAGATTTAAGGAGTGAAATTCAATCTTTTTTGGCTATTTCTTGACTTATAGGATGATTCAAAAAGTACAAATTAGACATTTTTAACTGTTTAAACGAACAACTACCTTAAATAAAGGAATTCTTAGGCTAAAAGGCAAATGCTTGTTAGGTTGATAAGGGAAATTGACGGTGCAATTTCCCTTGAAAAATATGTTAAATTACCAGGTTCTGCAATCATCTTCAAATTCCTGCAAGAGGCTGTATGTACGCCCATTAAAGTAACATGGACACTGGGTCTCTGGCATGCACTGGCCATCGGTAGTACGAACTGTCCCATCTGGGCAGCCGCATCCCGCCGTACAGTCAGCCTTTTTGCAGGCGAGATGGAGGGTTTGGCATTCATGCTGACATTCGACACATTCGATGTATTTCTGGGTTCCTGGACACTCCTTGTCAGTGGCTATAATATATTCAAAACGGTTTCATTGACAGGTTTACTAAAGAAACATTGAGACGTAATATGCACTACGATTTTGGACATCTTTTGGTTGCGTTACCCAGATTTCCTATCAAAAATATCTGCATGATTTTTCCTGCTACATTGAGTGTACTTCAGCATGTTAATTGCGGAAGCCTAAAAGGGGCTCAAATCCTGAAAAATACATAAGGTAAATGTAAATATATACAACTGAAGCGAAAAATTTTGTTATTAAAATTTTGAATTGCTAACATTTAATGAGTTTCTTTTCTAATGACCAGTGAGTAATAATCTGAGATGCATCAAATTAATATCAATGCCCAAACTTGCATAAAATTTGGTTCGTATATGACGTGGACGACAAAATAGACAAAGCTGGTTTTTAATGTTAACGAGGTCTTTTTACCTGAGCAGTTGGTTTCAGTACAGTGAACTACACCATTCTGGCAGGTGCTGAAACACAAGCAGAACATACGCTTAGCTTCCATTCCTAAAGTGGACATTACTGTGTTTCTTAGAGTCGAGGAAAACTCATTGAAACATTTATTTTTTAAAAGTGATTTTTAAGTTGGATATTTGTTGATATTTTCGACTACCCCTTTTCCTTTTGCCTTTGCTTCTCAAATAATCCCCAATTGCCTCTAAACTTCAAGCCCCATCATCCCCCAAATGGCTCTAAAACCGCACCTGGTGATTTGATTGATTTCAACATAGATCTGATTTGAAAAAAAAAAACGAACAAAATGTTTAGTTTTGGTGGAAGACGGAAATGAGGAAAAGTAATTATTTGGAACTACATTTGTCTCTTACAATCGAGGTGTGGTTACATTTTACCTACTTCCTTAGTTCTTCAATGGCATGTTCATATCTTGCTATTAAAGTGGAGTAGTTTGCAAGTTGTATTTACCTATGGGTAGTTGTTACAATCACCCGTTGGCGTATCAAGCGAGGTGCTTTGGCAGATTTGTTTTGACAGAGAATACTTCACAGGTGGAAGCAAAGTAATCGGCGTCAATGTTAGCTCTAAATCCCTAAGAAAACAACACCATTTCATTTGTATTCTCCTCCAACATCACATTGTATGAGCTCGAAGTCGCATTGGCTATTGAATCCCCCCCACCAAAAGCTGGACACCTGTCTGTGAACAGAACGAGTGAACTACCACACACACTACATATCTTTAGCTGCACCGTCGGCAACAATACGATACGGTACGCTTTGGGATTAATCGGGTGCTCTGTTTGACGTAAATATTATCTCATTAAACTTTAAGGAAAATTGCTTCACCGATAGGCACACATGTGTTGTATATTACTGTTAAAGTCGCTGCACTGTCAACTTTGTACAATTGTTAATACCGTGCATACTTTCGAAACAAGGAATTGTGAGAAAAATTAGGGAAAGGTCTCTCAATTGCGTTCTCAACTTTGATCACGTTTGTACTGTTGAAAATGAAGCTGAAATACAAAGCTTATATCGGAGAACCATGCTCATACCTACCAGTCGCTGCATTTATCCTTCCATGTTTCCCCTGGGTCACGATCACGCCCTTTAAAGTAGCAAGGACACTGCGATAGGGACACACACTTGCCAGTACGGTCGTTATAAACCTACAAAAAAGGAAACGTTTCGCCAGTGTGCAACGCTGAAATAGGAATCTATTCCTTAAAGACCTTAAAGTAATTCTTATTTAAAAGCCCAAGGTTACGAGACGCCGAATATCATATTTACCTGCCTCAAAAAACAAAACTGGTCATGGAAAATAAAGAGATCCATTTGGCCATGTTACTTTTGGTTATAACATGCTAATTTGGTTAGACCTAAACCCATCAGTCGGTCAAGTCGGTGAGATGTATCTTTTGGTCAAACACTGTAGTAAAGTAATTTCTGTATATATGTAGTTCGTATATACACACAGGCTCTGTACATGTAACAGGTTATGTAATGGTACCACACATGACTCTGCTAGGGCCTACAGTTGACCCCCGCCACGGTGAATGATCTAACTGTAGTCCGGAATTTTCTAGTTGTATGTTCTGGACGTTTCTTGTGAAATCCAATAATATCTAGTTATCCAATGTACCTTCTGGACGTTTCTTTACATAATGCTTCAAAGTATGTAAGAAACGTTAACGTAATGAAAAGAATTTTGTAGAAGATAAGGATTTTTTCGGACGAGTTGCAGACTAAAAATAACAGGCTCTGGCAGACAAGGTCAGAAAGAGGAACACACCTAGACAGATTTTCGAAAGCAATTCTACCGTACGCGGGCTGTAAGAGGTCGTTGCGTTGTTGACTTCTGCACCATCTCAACCTGTGGTGACGAGTTGTCTGCTGGGTGACACTTTTAAGAAAAGTTTGTCCACACCAAGTGAAGTGCAGAGCTGATTTTTTTCCTGGAAGAGACAGTTTGTCAACTGAATCCAGTTTCAGACTGGGGATCATGAAGTTCCCGTATTTTCGACGGTCATTACGCCCTCGCCATATCATCTCGACCGATATTGGACATGGTCTTCGTTAGCATGGCAGCTCCTTTTTGCACCAAGGACTGAACAGTTTTAGCCATCTGTGGAGTCCAGCATTCTTCACTGTAGTACGTTCTTTACTTTACTAGTGCCTGCCAAGCTCTCGACCTTGAAAACATCTTGTTCATAGATGATATTTTCTTGGTTTTTTATCCTTATCACTGTGAACTAGTTCCGATCAGCATTTTCTTTGTTATCCTTATTTTCGCATGGAAAGTGTAACATCCTCATTATATCCTAGTTGGTTCTGCACCTTGCAGAAAAGGCTTTGTTTTCCTACTCAGTTGTCTTGTTCTTTCCTTTTTAATAGGCTTTTGTGCCGAGTGCGCCATATGCAGAAAAGGTTTTACATTTTGCACGCAGTGACTCAGTAATTTAAGTCGGTCTTAAGGCGAAAGGTTAACTGAACGCACACGTGGCTGTACATGCATATATAGATGACAAGTCAACTACTTACTTTGCAAGCTGATTAGAGTAATCGGGGATCGAGTTCGCCTTTGCTTTGCTTTGTTTTACTGATTGTTATGGGCTTTGTATCTGGTCTGAGGAGCTCCGAGCGAAAAGGTGCAGCCTGAAAAATAATAGATTCCCTGTAGCCTGTTGGCAAATCCACGAAAACGTTGTGACCCCGCAGAAAGTATTCGAAGGCTTACCGCTTCTCGCCACAAAAATCACTCGACATTAATCTATCCGCAGCAGAATTCAAGGAACAAGACAACTCGTGCTGCAGTCGTTTCGAAAGCCGCCATTAATGCTACATGTTTATCATGCATGCCAGTTCACATTGATGTATTATGCACATGTATACTTAGCTGCAATTGGTCACTGTACACTCATCGCATCTATTCTTATTCGGAAATACCTACCCCTAGGTTGGGTTAGTTTTTAGTCTAGTTTAGCTTATTAATTTGGATTTTTGGGGGCCCTGCCCGAAGTGTATTATGCAACTGTATACTCACTGTTTGCCCCCAAAGGGTTATAAAAAAACACTACCGTACATTTTTAGGCGAGTTTAGTTTAGTCTAGTGTAAATCTGGTGTTAGTCCAGTCTATCCAGTCTTGTCCTGTCCGGTCTTGTCCTGACTTTAATTTAGCCTAGTTTCAGTTTGATTGTTTGCATGTCCGTCTGTTTGTTCTCGAACGGAAAAGTTTCTGTTTGTATATGGCCTGCCTCGGCCAGTATATGGTAACGTTTCCGCTGCAGCGCCCGCGGCTTGTAATTTTGCTTTTCTGAGGAAAAGTTAATTCAATTAGAGAGGCCGTGGAAGGGTACGCGACCCATACTGGTGCACGGGAATGCACCTCGTTTTAGCGGGTAGTTTATTTCCATATTGACTTTAAATAGTAACCGACTGAAAATAGGAAAAACTAAATCATCTGTGTTTTGAATCGATGAAGAAACTATCCCATGTATTTGGTGCTTATAACTTCAAGTTCTGTCTCGTTTTCAGGTTTACTGTGAAGTTGTTACGTGTACTTCTGTACTTTCCCTTTTTAGATAATCTACTCTGTTAAATTTACCACATATTGGCTGACAGAAATTTCGACTTTTCATCTTGAGAAACAGAATCGCACTCCTCTATAAAACATGCCACGAAAATAGCCCAAGGTAACAATGGCATATCACTCATGTTCACTAATTGCTCAAACACTTCGAGATTCCAAAATAGAATGGAACAGAAGCTGATGTTCAATTTCACAGTTCACGCTAATGAATTAAGCATTGTGAAAGAAAACATGCAACATTTGTGATGAAACCCGTGAAGGTTGAAAAAGCTTTTCGTATGTGTTAATTTACCACTTTTTTTATTCTTATATCTAAATCGAAACCACCGGCCTTTTAATTGGAATCTAAAATGTATATTTGCATTAGATTCCAATCGCCGTGCACTATCATGAGTGTAAATTAAGGACCCCTGCAGACCGAAGTATATTGTAAAGTGAACGCTAATAGTGTTGTCACAGCAGACAGCTGCGGTTTGCAAGATCGCAAAGGAATAACCTACTGGAATTGAGACAAATTCAGCATAAAGACTGAATTTCACGTTTGCTTTCGAATTCATACCATATTGTCCTGGCACTGGCATCCCTGGATACACTGTTCCTGACAGTTATCAGTACTCCCAAGATCCCGACATGCCGCCTTGCACATGGACCCGCACTCTTTAAAAACCATCCCCTCTTCACACACCGTCGGTGCTGTAAAAGAGACAAACGCAGGCTTTCATTTCTGTCACTATTTAGCTCAGCTAGGCAGGTAACCGAAAGTGGAGTACTTGTTTTGAAATCTTCAGATTTCTTGCTCACTCCAGAATGTTAGATAATGATGGTATAGAGGTCTAAATTCGCTGCCAAACCTCCCTGTTCATCTTTGGACACCAATCACTGATCACTGATACTACATTTGCATGATGTGGTATCTTTTCCTAAACCTCAAAACAACCAACGGAAAAGATGTTAATGAATTCTTGTTGCAATGTTATCACTGTTTTAACCATCGTCATAACGCTGTTGGACAAAGAAATGGCGTGAAGGAAACACGCATTCGCAGCCAATTGGTACATTTTTGTCCAAACCTAAATGCTGATAAAAAAAAACTTTTAACCACAGAGACCTGAGTTTCTCCAGACATGATTGACGCCCACTTTAGCACACTCATGAGCATAAGCAGAGAAGGCCAAGCATTTATTTTCCATAGTTCTGCTCTTGTATACGTATATACTAATCTCTTCTTTTCAATTCCCGTCCTTAGTTTGTTTCTCTTAGCATCCTAATTGTGCTTTTAATTGAGCCAATTGCATCATTCATCTGCAACGATACTTATGAACCTTAAAAATAGTTCAATTTTAACACAGACTATGCTCAACATACAAGTGTTCAGTAAGACAACGCTATTTACCACAGAGACCCGAGTTTCTCCAGACAAGATTGACGCCCACATTACCGCACTCATGAGCATAAGCAGAGAAGGCCAAGCACTCTGTTCCTGTATGGTACTGGCTGTGACAATGGTCGTGCAAGCACATGTCTCGGTACATCTTAGGGTCAACCTTCAGTCCACAGTCTGTAAAAGGCTCCCGTATCAGTTTACCACAGGTTTCCTCAGCCAGTTTTCTGCGTTTGTAGTTGATTTCACAGTAGTCATTAATATTCCCGTTCTCGGTGCTTCTGCAATTGCAGTTGGACTGCCATTTTGGAGCGAACATGTGTGACACCTGCATGATACTCCCAGACGGTAGCTGGTAATCATCTCCAGTTATTCTATTAAAAGTTCCACAAAGTCCTTCCCCCTTTGCAAAGAAAAATTGGCAGAATCATTTCAGTGAGTTTAGGAATTAATGGAGGCATTTGGCTCAACCCTAAACATATTTGGAATTGAATGTTATGCTTAACATCTACAAAACTCTCCTTGCCATTTCCTTTTGCATCCATGGTATTTTCTTTCGCATCTTCAACACTAAATTTAGATGCTGACCCAAGACGAGCAGAGAACGATTCAAAATCATCTAACCCAATTTCTCATCGATAACACGGTTTCCCTCTGGGTAAAAAAACGAGAAAAAACACACTTGTTTTAACTTTTATGTCATTTTTTTTCCGGACAGCAAGTCAGCAGTTACCTTGCCGAGCAACTTTGCAGCCACTGTAACATAGATACGGTTGTCGCCTGCCCGCAGCAGTTCGATGCCGAGCACTGGCATAGACACTTTCGTGAAAATGGACGACGGACGACTGAATAGGATGGTGCTGTTGCCGGCAAACTGAGAGTAAGGCAATTTCATATCTTGTTTGGGCCGGTTGTCCTCCGTCACTATGACTGTATCAGCTGTCTTAAGTCTGTGCAAGTTTGGGAATAACCATCTCTTATTATATGCTTATGTGCACGAATTAAGCATGTTTAAGCACATCTATTAATTTTTGTAAACACTCAACCTTCCCAAAACTGTAAATTAGAAGCCCATGATTAACTTACCGCAGTGATTTTATCAACCTTGAGGGCGTACCAAGAGTTGAATTTCCCTTTACAAAAAGAATAATTTCCCCCTCCGTATGGGTCTAATGAAACATTTAGGCTCAAAACACAAGATAACGGCTGTTTGGGAAATATTTTGATGGTAGTATTCAACTTCTTCATCAATTACTTTCCATAATTCTGCTTTTGCATAGGTATATACTAATCTCTTCTTTTCAATTCCCATCCTTAGTTTGTTTCTCTAAGCATCCTAATTGTGTTTTTAATTTACCCCATTGTATTTTTCAGTTCTGCGTCCATCTGCAATGCTACTTATAAACCTTAAAAATGGTTTGATTTTAACACAGAATATACTCAACATACAAGTGTTCACTGAAACAACACTACTTAACAAAGGGAAATTTTAAAAAAAATTACGAGAGCAAAAAGACGACTAGTTCAGTGCTCTGTGTATTTGCATACTTTGGTTCCTGTAGTAGGTTGCGATGAGCCATTTTGGTATTCTAACGGCACATTTCCAAAATGAAAAAGCTGCGGTCGTTGTGCACTCACACGCAGCAAGCATGCTTTTGCTTACCGAATGAAGCTGCCTTTTGAAAATACCAAAGTAGCCCAGTCGGAATGGTGAACTTACTCGTATTGAGTCCCATCCGGAGTCCTGATGCTTATTTCAGGGACACGGTCACATCGCGACTGCGACGCATCACACTTTGCTTTATCCATGAAGATGCTGAAGGAATTTTCCAGCACTGATTTGCTTTGAACTAACACGTACTCGCATTTTCCGTCGAATTCGAAGCTTTTTCCGTCGAAGGTGTTGAAACGGCGCCCTCCGAAGATAGAACATGTGCCAGGGCAGGAGTGGGTGGAACATTCTTGAAGCTTGCCCTCGTAACATACACTAGTGGAGAAAGAGATCGAACAGTTAAAGAGGAACCCAAACGGTGGAATAAAATAAAAGTCTGTAGTGTGTTTACTTGGATCCCACTAAAGACATTTATGCCACATAAATCCGAATTCAGCAATATTTTTGGTAAAAATTCACATTTCAGACTCGTTTCTGCCGAGCGTCATGGTTAGCTTTCCGTGGCTTTCGTGAAAGGAGCGTGTCGTCATCGCATCGTTTACGGCTTTTCGAGGATTTTGTCCGCGTAGCATGGCGGAAACACTTGTCCGGTTGGTGCATGTACGCAATAGAGACCATTAGAAAACGGTGCACGTACAGAATACTGTGGCGAATGCAACTGACACCTC